ACACACACACACACACACACACACACACACACACACACACACACACACACATATATATATATATGCTTTTTTCTACATTCTTCTTGGAGTCAGTATTATGATTTATAGCAATATGGGTGTGTCTTCTAACACGTTAGCATCCTTTATTTCACACCATGTGTCTGAGAACATTAGAAACCGCAGAGGAAAAGGCTTCCTCCTTGTTTGTAATATGCATGTGTTTGAGTTAAGAGGGAAATTGCTCTACTTTTACATTTCTCCGATTTCTCATCAAACCCCACCCACCTACTCCTACAAGGCCACACCCTTTAATCCTTCCCACACAGTTTCACCAAATGGGAACCAGGATTCAAACAAAGGAGCCTTATGGGCTCATTATCATTCAAACCACCACAGACAGCCTGAGAGGATGGAGTGCAGTAAAACTGATTAGGGTGGTCCTGCCAGCCCCTCGGTGTACCAGTGGCATGTGCCTACCCTATAAAAAAAGGCTGTAGATACTTTCTAAAGAAATTAAACAAACTGACTAGAGGTACCACAGGACGCTGATTGGTGTCTTCCATCTCTTGGGCAAGACCCAGACTTCCCGCCTCTTCTCCTCCCCACATCTTAAATTTAAATATGATACGACATTACTTATATCCAGAGAGCTCTGATTGCTCTAAATCGGTCAATTTAGTCTTCCATTTATGAAAAAAAATAAACATCAAGGTGAGATTGCCATATTTTTGAGAAAAGTTATGAGAATAAAAAATTCTGTGAATGAACAGAAGAGTTGGTCAAAAAATTAAGTTGCTATCCAGGGAACATCAGTGAACACTAAAAGAGTTCTAATTTTTCTCAGAAAGTTACCAGAAGAAACTTGTACCCTGAAACAAGCGCTAGTGCTGGTGAGGTGGCTCGGTGGGCAACGGCAGCTGCCACCAAGCCGAGAAGCTTCAGTTCCATCCCAGGACTCATACGGCGGAAGGAGAGCACAGGCTCCTTCAAGCTGTCCTCCACCGTCCGCACATGTGCCCCAACACAGAACAAAACTAATTAACTAATTTAACTGTGATTTTACAAAACAGGATGCTGGGGCTGGAGAGACAGACGACTCAGAGGTTAATTTAAGTGAGTGCTGGCTGCTCTTCCGAAGGACCCAAGTTCAATTCCCAGCACCCACACAGCAGCTCACAACTGTCCGTAATTCCAGTTCCAGGGGATCTGACACCCTCACACAGACATACATGCAGGCTGAACACCAGTGTGCATAAAATAAAAATAAATTATTAAAAAAAAAAAAAACCAGGATGCTGTGAAAAGTCAGAGAGAAAAAAAAAGTTCATGAAATCTAAAATTATTTAAAATAAAGGTAAATAGAAGAGTAAACAGAGAACGAAACTGCAAGGACTAGGAAAGAGCTAGGAATCTATGGGGTCAGCCTAGAGGGGGAAGGTCTCCCTCAAGCTGGAGTTCAGAAATGGGGGGGGGGGGGCTTTAAGAAATACTGGAAGGAAATGGAAGACAGCAGTATGTCCCGGCAGAGCTTACGTGATGTCAAGCAGAACATCCAAAAAGAATGGGCATTAGACAAATCTGCATGAAATTTAGAATGGCAAGCATAAAAATGTGACCACAACCATTTCTAAAGCTTTTGTTTTTTGAAGAGTGTGGTAGTGCATGCCTTTATCCCAGCACTCAGGAGGCAGAGGCAGGAGGATCTCTGTGAGCTTGAGGTCCTGATTTATATAGTGAGTTACATCCAGAGCTCATGATGATGGTGATGATGATGGTGATGATGATGATCATGATGATGATAAATAAAAATTAGACGGTTCCTATGAAGGAATGAGGACAGGATTTTTTTTTTTCAAACGTCTTACTAACCATACTGATGACAGATAACAAAGATAATGTCTCTAAAACCCTAAGTCAAGTCATTGTCCAGTCTGAAAGTCTGTACCTCTAAGAAAATCTGTTTCTAAAGTGTGGGGGTAAACGGGAAATCTTTTCAGATATTTAAGATCTTTGAAAACTAGCCTTTTACATTCTTCCTAAGGAATAGCCAGTTGATACAGTGGTTGCTGATCCTTCTGCCCACAAGCAAACAACAGGAAACAAATAAAAAACCCCTGGGAAGGCAGGACTGAGGGGAGAAACACGGCAGGTAGATGTGGAGAGGACTAAAATGGGGCGTGGTTTTGACTAAGGTGAAAAATGACATTGACCTGGACATAGACATGGTGCCGGAGACTGCATTATGCTGTGGGTCTCTGTCGGCATGGTGGTGGATGAAGGCTCAGTCATTAAGGTGAGTGGGTTCTGTCCATTGGATTTCGTTTTCAGAAGCAATCAAAAATTGTTTTACATTGTAAGTGTCAGTTTGTACATGAAGGACTAAATACTGAGCAACAGTTAGAGGGACGATGCATACATACAATGATTTGGAAACAATTTGGTAAACTGAGGAGAAGCAAGGAAGAGTCCTGGAGAACCCCAGCATATGGATAGATGGCGATGCAATGGGCAATGAGCAAATTTGGAGATAGTAGTTAAGATGATAAGTACTCAGTTACAAAATTAAGACTAGAAACAAGACTAAAACCAAAAACTAGAGAGAGAAAAGTAACGTTAGTTACCTCCCTAACTATCAGCAGGAAAGTCAAAACCTCACAAGCATCGCACTACTGCTTTCTAAACTGATTCTTAAACCACACTTTAAAATAGAGAAAACCCAAATTCATGATATTGTGGGACACTATGGGGTTGTTAAAATATTATTAACAATGAAGTGTATATTCTGTTATGGAAAGATATTTATGCACGTTTCCAGCTTTCAAGGCAATTCTATAGAAAAAAAATATCCTACTTATATTTAAAATAAAATAGAGCTATGACTGAGGAGGAACTCAGTAATTCTCTTTTCACTGTGTAGACTGATGATTTTCCACGTATTAACTCATCCGGAGCTCCCCCAAATCCTGTGAGATACTATTTTAAAGATAAGGAGAAACTGATCTTGTTCCAGTTGGCAGCACAGTTGGTAGTATTTTATTTTTGCTGAGCGGCATTAAATATTATCTTTAAAGACTATCAAAAACATATACTATGACAACTGTGGGCATAAATAGCATTAAGAATAGTCTATTTGCTTCTGGGACCATCACAGTATCAGTCTTTTTTGTTTGTTTTGTTTCTATTTTTCAAGACAGGGCCTCTCTCTGTAGCCTTGGCTGTCCCGGACTCGCTTTGTAGACCAGCCTGGCCTCAAACTCACAGAGATCCACCTGCCTCTGCCTCCCAGAGTGCTGCGATCACAGGCGTGTGTCACCATGCCCAGCTCAGAGTCTTTTGTTTGTTTTATTAACTAATTTGTTTATTCAATTTACATTTCTGTCATAGGCCCCTCTTTTCTCTCCTCCCATTCCCGCCCTCCCTCCCACATCCCCTTTCCCCAATTCCTCAGAATTCCACACACTCCAGCTCATCTAGTCGAATGAGGACTGAGTTCATCTTTGTCCCCCATGGCCTGGCCATGCCAGTGATATCCCCCACTCCCCTCACTAACCTTAAAGACATTACATTTCTGGGTGTCAGTCATTACTTTCTTACTGCATTGCCCACGGATATGAGCTATTACAAAATATCCCCAGCGATTTGTCAACAGTATCATACTCAGCAGAGTTTATGCAGAGAGCAAAGGGACCATTCTCTTCCTCAGGGGACTAACAAAGAAGAGGAGGACTTTAGCGACGAGGATCATGACGAAGAGGAGGATATTGAAAACATCCTTGAGGAAGAATTTCCAAAAGACGAGGAAGAGATGAGCGAAGAAGACGAGGAACAGGAAGGAGACGCAACTGAGCGCCTGAGAACCGAACTGGGGGAAAAGTTTGAAACAGACAACAATAATCTACAGCTGATACAGGTTATGACCTTCCCTTCAGTTAAAGAGTAACGATTTGGAAATGCAAAGAGGGTAATTAGGTTCAGTGTCTGTGTGTGTGTGTGTGTGTGTGTGTGTGTGTGTGTGTGTGTGTGTGT